TTTTTTGCCACGTGCCGTGATTTGCGAGGTCGGGCCAAATCTTCCTTCATCAGAAACCATGGAAATCTCACTATATTATTAGTTTTCCCTCTCTCTCTCTCCATCTATAAGGAACGGAAAGAAGAAAGGAGAGGAGAAAAAGGGAAAGGGAAAGGGAAAGGGAAAGGGAAAGGGAAAGGGAAAGAAGAAAGGAGAGGAGAAAAAGGAAAAGGGAAAGAAGATAGATGGGGGGAGAGAGAGAGAGGGAGGACTTCAACAGCAGTCTGCTGCCGCTGCATAGCTACCGTTGTTGCTGTTCGTGTACAGTATTTTTCTTCTAATTGTTCGAATAGTTATTATAAAGGTAATATGGGAATTAAAAAATATTGTAACAGCGGATTTTAATAAAAGATTAACGGAAGGAAATCTCTATCTCACAGTCATATTATAGGGGGATTTTTGTTACAAAATAAAATATAGGAGGGTCTTTATCACAGACAGCGGGGGTCTTTATAATTTACCCTTTACACTATGTCGGGCTTGGGCTTCAAACCGGGCCTCTTCAAATTTTGGCAAAAGCCAATTCCGAGTCCGACCCATTAACAGGTCAAAGAACCTAACAAAAAGAGTTGGTTTTGGGTTGTCTTCGGTCATTCTGATGTCAGGGTTAGGGTTAGAACCATAGACCAGAAAAGGTTGATCGAGCAGAGCTTGCCACCACCTCTCATCTCTCTCTTTCTTTCCCCCTCTCTCATTCTTTCCACCACCTCCCAATCTTCTTCACCCATCGCGCTCATTTCCCAACCGAACAGAACAGAGCAGGGAAGCAGACCTCTGGTTCATCAAACCATCGCAAGAACCAGTTCACATCGAACGAAGCAACCGCAAGCCTCCTTTTGAGGCTCCAGGACGGTAGCTTGGTTAGAGCAATACCGATAGCAGTTCGTCTCTCATTTCTTGTATTTTTTTTTTCGAACTGCTAATTACTACTATGTCTCAACTTATACCTTGCAAACTTCAATTATATATCCACGTTCTAGGGTTTTACGCCTCTGCTACATGTTTTTACCTTTTACTATTTTCATTCGAATCAATTAAAATGGGGGCATGGAATTGTTTTGCCATTAATTGAATTATTTCAGATTGTGTATTCTTGTGAAGGAAGGAAATGGAGAAGGCATACAAAGAGAAGGAACCAGAAGATTCACTTTTGTCATCTGCGAGTATTTATGAGATACCTGGAGAACCTGCTGTTGTTATCAATGGGGTACCAAATGTAACTCAGAGCGAAAACACTGTCCCCAATTCTGATAGTTCACATGATGTAGAACCAAAACGAGACATTGGTTTCGGTGAATGGTTGGAAGGTAGGGAAGTTCGAAAGCTGTTTGGTGAGCAGTTCTATTATGGGTCAGTGACGAGGTTTGACAGGGAAACGGGTTGGTACAGGGTGGTATACAATGATGGTGATTTTGAAGATCTTGAGTGGCATGAATTAAAGGAAGTAATTCAGCCTCTTGACATTACAGTCCCATTGAAAACACTGGCTTTGAGGATTGCCAAGAAATCTGAGAAATCCATATGTAAGTCTGAAAACAATGCAATTGGATTTGGATCAACAACGCGCAGGGTCAAGAATGTTGTTGGATGGGAAGGGAAACCAATGCAGGGGCCTCAAATCAATGAGCTTCAGTAATAGTAACCGACTTCAGAAAAAGGATGCATAGAAGATATATGAAAATATGCTACAATGGGCCTATAAATTCAAAGAGTTCTGGGGAAATACATGCAATACTGCTAACAAATCAGTAATGTGTTTTGTGATTACTTTTCTTTCTTATTTTTCCCCTTTCTTTCTAAGCAGTGAATATCTCTTTTTGATCATGTGAATAGGGAAAAGAACAAAGATGCTCATATTTTTGCTCATTTTGCATGTAAAAGCCAGATAGTAGCCAGTTACAATGATCTATCCCTTACCAAGTTCTATCTATAATATCTGAAGTTGCTTTTTCTTTGCCCAAAAAAAGGATAAATTGTTAAAACCTCAAGTTTTTCACTATTGCTGACACCTCCCTTGAAGTTTGGTATTTGCAATGAACTCTCCTAAACTTTTTGACACACTTGCAAAGTTGTAAGTAGACCCCCTTTGTTAAAATCATTTAACAAGAGGCACAGAAATGTTCAAAATACCCATGTAGTTACTATTGACCAAAATGTTTATTTTTCAAAATTTCTATTCATATCAATTGCTACCTCAAGTGCTTCCAATCTCTTTTCTGAATTTGATTTATTTTTCAAATTTTCCCTTATGAACTTTTCAAAGGTAAAATTGCAACTTTAAATTCTCTATTTCTTGTTGTTCATAAAGTTTCTATTTCTTCATTGGTGGTGGTTGTGGTCGTGAAACTGATAACGATTTCCTTTTAGAGAAGTTGAGCTTCACTTTGTTACCTTGGATTCTCTTGGTTGCCTGGTCATAAGCCATAGTAGCCTCTTCGGTGGTGTTTTAATTGTCGAGCCACGACCTTTCTCAGATGCCCCTATAAATGTTCGTTCAAGCTTTGAGCTCTGCATTCCTTCTTTTTGCTCTTCCCTTGTAGTGTTAACACTTTCCCTCCCTTACGGAGGGTAGACAAGTGTGTGTGTGTCAGAGAGAACTATTAAAGAGGAAACTTTAAGTGGGGCCTACATATAATTTCAAGTGCCAAGGAAATTTCAAGTGGGACTCACTAATTATTTTTCAATTAAAAGAGAAAATTTTAAGTGGGACCCACATGTAATTTTAAGTGGAATTCACTTATTATTTTTTTCTTAAAGGAGGAAATTTTAAGTGGAACTCACTTATATATTATTTTTAAAATTTATTAATTTATACATTAAACATTTTTTATTTTATTCATTTGGACTCACTTGTAGTATTTTAGTTTTTGAGTTGAACAATGTCATGTTAGCATTTCTTAATATTTTATTTATTATAACATCGTGTATTTTTGGCTAATGTTGGTCTCTTCAACTTAATTTGAGGTCTAAAATGGTTCTTTAAATTCTTTAGAGGCAAAATTGGCCTTTTTGCAAAGTTCAAGGATTATTAAAGCCAAAATCCATTTTTTGCTTCATGGAGCTATACAATGGGATAAGGCCATCTCCCTCTCACACAAAGCACACCCCACACATGCCCCACAACACGATCCACCTGTGCATTGGGAACATCAATTTTACTTGAATCTTGTTTGATAGGCTGATAGGGTACAAACATTTTGTACTTTTTTTAATCTTGCGTTAAGTGAAACTCAATTTTAGAGGAAACATTATTTTGATGTTTCATTTGTTTCCTTTACGCTTAGCCTTTGTGGCACTGTATAATAAACTAGAATAAACATTTGTGGTATAAACTAGAATAAACAATTGTGGTCTGTGCCCACAATGTTTTTCTTGATTTTGGATACAGAAGCACAATGGGTACAGAACACCATGATATCAAACATGGCCTAAAGTTTAATTAATTGGCTTTTAAACTTGATTTACAGTTTGGGTGAATCCGGCTTCGGTCAATGCAAACCTGTACTCATACCGTTTGAACAACCTCTTAACCTTGCAATAGGAATATCTTCCCTTGAAATATGGAGATATTCCCAAGGTTGTAAAGGTACTTATAAAAAAAAATGCAAGGTTATAGAGGTTGTTCAAACGAACATTGCAATAACTGAAGTCGATTCGAGTTAGGATACATACATGGTATATGTGTGTAATATAGAATCATATTTTGTTATTTGGTTGAATTCACACAATGTCTTAACCAAACAACAGAACACCCCATAAGTGTTATCAAACATGGCCTAAGTGTCATGGCACCCCTAAGTAAGTGGATATTTGTAATTTTAACTTTTTTTTTTCTGAATAGACCTTAAAGCAGTTTCATTCATCATCAACATCAACAACGTTTAGATGGATCAATGCATTTAGTGCATTAGCTAATAAATGGGCCACACAGTTGGCGTCCCTATACATAAACACATACTACATCTCAGAATTTGAGAAACGAAGAAATGAGTGCCGTTTGGACCAGGCTTAAGTAATCACTCTAGCATCTCCTTCCCAATATGATATTTTGTGACTTTAAGTTTTTCCCAAACTTGATTCTTAGAAAAGCATATGCTTCAGTTTCAATGAGCAAATAGAGATGAATAGACTTGTTTAGCAGTGTGGTTCATTTGATAATATTGTGGTTTAGTTCATTCTGATCCATGTCATGGTAAAAGAAAAAGTGTTTGTTTGAGACTTAGGTCATATTTGGGAGTGCTTAAAATAAGTGTTTATTTGGATGGAGACCATACAATTAAGCACTTATTGGTGCTTGGAAAATAAGCCCGAAATAAGTGCTTATTTTAAGAGCAAGGGCTTATTTTTTAAGCCCAAATTTCTAGCTTGCTTTAAGTGCTCATACAATAAGTACTTATTCATATTTTTTCTCCAAAATTGTCTTCGATAAATTTTTAGAATACCAATTATACCCTTTCAATATTATTACTTTTAGTTACAATATTGTTACTTTTACGAAAACACTTTTACAAAAGCACTTTTATAAAAACACTTTTATAAATGCACTTTTACAAAAACACTTTTATAAAAATACTTTTATAAAAGTGTTTTTATGAAAGTATTTTTATAAAAGCACTTTTATAAATGTACTTTTACAAAAGCACTTTTATAAAAACACTTTTATAAATGCACTTTTACAAAAACACTTTTATAAAAATACTTTTTTACAAGTGTTTTTATGAAAGTACTTTTATAAAAGCACTTACGAAAGTACTTTTATAAAAGGATATTTACAAAAGTACTTTTATAAAAGCACTTTTACAGTACTACAAAAACACTTTATAGAAGTACTTTTATTAAAATACTTTTATGAAAGTACTTTTACGAAAACACTTCTATCAAAGTACTTTTATTTATTCACTTTGGATTGGATATTTTGAAATTTTGAAAGAAAATGAAGGACAAGAGTCACAAGTGCTTATTGGAGAAAAAGACCACCAAACACCCAATATAAAATCACTTGAAAAAACTGGGTGCCAAATGCAAATAAGTACTTATTCAAATAATCACTTGTTTTTAAGCACTTATTTTTAACATAAGCACTCCCAAACATGGCCTTAGCTCATTTCAATCCCGTTTACATTACAAGGTGGAATGAATCGGGCCATCTAGAAATTTATTTTCTATGTTTAAATGTCATAGACCAATTCATGCTACACTAGTTCAAAATTTTCACATAAAGTCTTGTAATAAATTCTCAAGTTATTTTATAGAAAATTTTGTTTAATAAAAGCCATCTACACACCACATTGCCCACACAGTAGTGCATAATGTCTTCAAAGAGTGGTGGGATTTCAACCACTCCATAGTGGGGCCTAACAGATTGAAATGTGGCGCTCCACGTTTTATTGAAGCACAACATTGAACAGCCCCTTAATATTCTTAATGTAGAAAGATTTTATAAATTAATGGAAAAAACAATCTATCAAATCCACATTAAAATCAAAAGATGATTTTAATCTCAAGAAATTACATGTATAAATATTGATAATAGAATAATTATTTTAATACTTAAAATATATAAATTTGCACATGATATGTATATTAAAATTTATATATATATTAAAATTATTAATTAATATTTTAATTTACATTAAATAAAAATATATTTATTATTTACAAAATTATAAAATATTTACAAATTGTTCAAGAATATAATATTAAATTGAGTCTATCAAATCTACTAACTACATTTATATCAAAAAATTATTTTTAATTTCAAAAAAATTATAGAAATAAAAATATTAATAATGGAATATTTATAGTAATTAAAATTATGAATTTGTATATGATATGTATCATAGAAATTTTAACAAAATTAATATATTTTAATTTAATATTATATATTTTTATAAATTATTAATTGATGTTTTAATTTACATTTGAGAATTTAATATTTGGTTGACTTTTTATTAATGTAAAAAAAATTCAAAAGTAGTAAAATAGAGAATAATTGATATAATAATTAAAATATAATAGGTGCATAATTGTGTTTGGACTCTTAATTGGTATATTATTAATACAATTGTATGATATCTATGTATTTGGATATATTAATTGTAATATAATTTTTTATATATACCATTAAAATATACATTTCCTATGTATTTATACATTATTTGTAACTATTTGACCTTAAATTTAATGTTATTAATGCATTTATAAAATAATATATATATATATATATATATATTCAAGCAATTTCATATTTTCTGTCCATATTTATACATTTCAATATTTGAGTTGTCCCATACAATTCTCAATTATGGTACTTTAGTCCTTGGCGACAAGGTGAAATAAGATGTCCATCTTATCCATATCTCCACCCCTCTTTTGACTTGAGTAAACACTCGTGGAAAGAATTGTTCGCCAAAATGAGGGAATGCTATTATTTGCTTAATTAGCTTCCCATAAGTTTTGCTTCTAAAGGTGTTTATGTAAAAGTAACACAAATAGCATGAATCATTCAATAAAGACCATCCCATTCTTCATACCTAAGGCTAAGTTGTTGTTATCCTTAGTGTCTTAAAATAGTTAAATGCCTAGACCACCTGAAATCTTAGGCTTAGAGAAGTTGTTCCATGCATGATTTGAGGTGGATGTGAAAAATCATACTACCCAAAAAACATTATAGCTGTAGGAGCATCTCCCCATGAATGACAATATACAAATATCGAAGATACTGTTGATGTACGGTTTCAATGTCTTGTAGGTAGGTGTGGATAGCGTTAATAGATTCGGGTTAAGTTGGATTAGCTAAATGCAATGGCTGTGGAACCAATGACAACGCCTCACATCAGCCATGAATGCTAAATGCGAGAGTGAGTGGTTGTGGTGTTATCATTGATTTCCCAGCCCGCTACACAACCATCATGTTCAGTTAACCCGATCTCGATTCAAATGCACCGATAGTCCAATAGTCGCCACATGATACATCGATCAAAAGCAAAATTTATGAGAACCTTGTGATCTACATGGGAAAGGGGAGTTGGCTTTCCACCCACCGAGTTTCCTTTCCAATATTGTCAATGAAAGAAGACAAAACTCTTCCTCTTGCTTTTGATGCATATCATTCCTAAAAGGAATAGAAGACTTTTGAAAAGTTTCCTAACCCAACCAGTGATGGTATAAATCAATAATTGAAAGATTCTCCATTTCACTCCTTAGCTTGGCCAGAAAGGAGAAGATCGTCTGCAGAACATCCAAGTATGTTATTGCAGAATTACATCTACAATTAGCATTGTATTGGTTTTTTTACATTTTCCTTCCTTTCCTTACCTTTTCCTTCAAACCAAACATAATCTTTAAGGTAGCCTAACAAATTTTCTAATTTTGTGACCAACTGATGTACTCCATCTCTATCATTTGAAAGTCTTGGGTACACTTGTTGGGCTTCATTCTGGACCAAAACAGAACCAACCCTAACATTGACCAAGAAAAGGACCAACCATAAGACTTAAAAAGGTCCCCAACCCTCATCACAAGTAAGAGGGGGAGGGGAGGGGGATAAATTTTAAAGAAACTTTTGATGATTATACTGAGACTTCTGGATTCTCCTCTCATAAGAAAGCTGCCAAAGAAGAAGACTAAGAATTATGTACTTGGCATGCAAGTCATGAGATTGGAATAATACTTTCTTTATATCTTCTTTCCTTCTTCTCTCTCTAAGCTGGAGAGAGAGAGAGAGGGGACAATTTAATGGTCGCCCTTCTTTTCTGGACTTTTCAGGCCTGTTAGGATAGCACATTGCCATGGATTTTTGTGGCCTGAAGTCAACACCATGACATACATGATTTGGTAAAGAAACCCAGGATGAGAGAGAAGAACCTTCTTTTTTTGTCTTTACTACATCAGATCAGAATCTCTGTGTTGAAACCCAGACCACCCACCATATACGTCATCTTGGGGCCCCCCACACATCCATCCAGAGATCTGTTATTACCAGGTAGAATTGCATCTTACACCACACATCTGAAACACTGTATGTAGGACCCACCAACACATGGGTGCAAATTCAATCTATGAGCATATGGGCCGGTGGACTGGACCGTGGTCGATCTCTACTCAGTCCAGGCTGACAGGCTTGAGCCAAGACTTCAACTCCATAGCCTATACTCTATACGGCATCTGACCCTTGATCAGCTAAACCCTGGTTAAACCCAATAAAATTTTGAACCGGGTCACTAAGAAATTGGGCAGGCCAGATCTAATGCTCACACTAATTACAACAATACCTCATCATGTCTTTACTAGGGCTGTCAAATGGGTCAGGTCTGAATCCTGATGGACCCGATTATAACAAATTTATTAAAAATATTATATTTTAATATATTATACATCTAATATATATATATATTCAAGTCAAATCTAATAATCGGAACAATATATCAAACCCAATCTATTGGATCCATGTGATGAGATCCGACCCATACACAGCCCTAGTCTCATGTTTGAAATAATCATATAAAGCCAGACACCGGACACAGTTTATTGTTTCTCACACTTTAGTCCTTTCTTAGAAACGAGCCTTTCGACATGTTTCGTCCCTGTTCCACACATCAATTGCAGACTCAGACTTTTCTTCAAAGTCATGAAAACCAGTAAACCAGAGCTGTTGCAATCTGGAACTTTCCTTTTCCGAGCCAAACGGTAGAAAATTACCCACTATGCGTGGGGACCAAATTCATCCCAGTTGAGGGTGCAAGGAGGGCCAGATTAGGTTGGATTGAGGTCAATCATAAACCCAATGTGAGTTGTTAAAACCCCAACCCTAACCAATTGGGTTGGATTTGGGTTGCCTCTTAGATTAGGTGCCAAGTGGCTTAAGTAAGGGTCTCTGACTATTTGTAGGAGATCCTATCTGGTGCCTACATCATGGTTGGGGAGGTTATGGGATATATTCAGTGGTAGAGTCAGGGATTTTCTTTTGAGTTTTGAGGGAGAGGACCGAGATACATATAGTATTTTTTTTTTTGGATTTATGGTAATGAAAAAATTATATTAAATCAATTACATTATAGAGGTTTGCAACATAAACAACACAAATATTGTTATAGAAAATTGGAAATGCCATAAAATAATATAAAGGGTGAGAGAACTACAATATCCTTTTGTTATAGGCTTTGTGACAACTCCTAAATCCCCCTAAGACCCTGTTTGTTTTTTGGTAAATTATTTATCTGGGTAAATGCACTTACTCAAGTGTTTCCCAGGAAAGACTTACCCGGGTAAGTGGATTTACCCATATTCTTTTATTTCCCATGCAAATAAGACAATGACCATTTTAGCCATAAAAATTCATTATTAYAAGGGGCATTTTTGTCCCATTTAAGTATTGGCAACTATCCCCCGATGTGAGAAAGTTATTTACCCACCTAGGAGATGAGTATCACTTACCTTAATAAACTATTCCTGATCCCCACACAAATCTGTAAAAAGAACACGGGATTTTTGGTCAAAGAGAATCAAAATCCCATTGACCAACTTTCCCCCCTCTCAAAGTCTAGAAAAAGAACACCCCCTAAATGCTACTTAATTTTCAATTTAATTGACTTACTTTTCCCATTATCTGTTTTTATGGCAAAAGCAAGAAAAAGAGATAAAAGTACAAAAAGAGGTAGGGTTTGGCTATATAGCTAGCAATTCTATTTATACTTCAACAGACTAAACTTTTGTTCATACTGGATTTGAAAGGAATACAAATACAAATACATACGGTACAAATACATACAAATGTTTGAAACTCTACATAATTGTATTTCTACTCCTTCCAATCTGAGCCTAAAAAAGTGTAAAATGGGCTTATGGGTCCCCATTTACACTCTTTATAAACCAATTGAAGGGAAAGTCCACGGTGTAAAACTGTATTTACACGGCAAGCGATTTATCGAATGAGTGGTCCCACATCTCCCGTTCAAGAACCAATGATAAAATTCCACACCTGAGTTTAAATGCATAGCACCCGCATCTTTTACATTGGGTCATTAATTTATTATTAACGTGAAACCTTATCATTGATTCCACAGCCCTCCTTGTTGTCATCCATACCACAATGACTACGGACTACCGAGTTTTCTCTCTGGTCTTCTTGACAAATATATAATTTGAGTTTTTATATTCTTGCTTTCAAATCTTGAGAAGCCAAAGACGACTAGAACACACCAGAAATGAGGAATTGAACCCTTGTATGAAAATTCAAGCTCCAGAATAACAACTACTCATTTTGATTTCCCTGTCCGAAACTTCAAATACCCATTTGTTTATTCTTTTAGCTTTTTATTATTTATTTTGCTTCTTTTGGGGAACACAGACCGGAAAATTAAAAGAAGAAAGAAGAGAAGATGTCTTGCTTTGTGCCGTTTAATGACAAGAACTTGGATATCTCCTTGTTCGTTTTCAGATCAGTTGTAGTCATCATAGAGGATCTCATGGACGCCCTCAAGCAATTCTCCGTTTGCTGCGAGCGTCTTGGCTGTGCCCACTGCTCTATCTTCAAGAGCATCCATGGAAACATGGTATGAGTCGTCCCTTGTCATTTCCAAACTTTGGTCTGTTCACATATTTCCTCCAATTGGGTTTTCATTCTTTTTCTATCTAACTGAATCTTTATACCTTTTAGCTTTTAGTTTTGATTTTTGAGGCATCTTTCCAAAGCTTGTGGCAGGCAGTCTTGATTGTTGATTCCCTTTTTCTCTTCTGTGTTCTTTATTCTAGAATTAGTTTTCATCTTTGACTTTGATTCTCTGAATCCCCTTATCCTTTGCTTTTCGTTTCCCTTTCTGTACTGGTGTTGTTGAATTCCTTTTAAGCTAAACATTAATTATCTGCAACTTCTTCAGAGTTGCAGCGGTTATGTATCTTTTGCCTCTTTGTTCTTGCTGTAGATCTTAGTAGGTTTTATTGTTTTGATGACTTCAGATTGTATGGTATGGAGCTTGGTTGAAGAGGTCGGATGAGCAAAAGAAGCTACTCGATGCTACTTTAGTAAGTTGATTATCTGTGTCATCTAACTTGATCAATAAAGCCCCAATCATTCTCAAAAACAGCTTCAATTCATGTTGCCAACCAAAATCTCTCTCTCTCTCTCTCCCGTTTTTGTGATAACAATTAAAAGCTGTATTTTTGCAAAAACAGATTGTTCTGTACTGTTAACTTCTTCTCCAGTTGTGAGTTGTGACATCCACATTTTTGTTTGCAGATGTCTATGTTACAAGATGTATCCAGCATGGCCATCTTGCTGGACCACAGCTTCTTCAATGCATATGCAGGTGAATCCAAGGACGGTTTCTCAGGTGCAAAGTTCTCCACTGGCGACACAGTATCCTTGAATGCATTGCTGCAGAGCTCCGATGACTCGGCCGACCTCTCCTACTTATGTCTCGCATTGTTCAAGTCTTACTTCTTGAAGATGGAGGGTGTCACTGGAGGGGTTTGCTTCAAGTGTGATGATCTTCCTAGGGTGGTTTGTCTATATGTGTGGAAGTCTCTCCACTCCTGTTACTCTTGGCTTCTTACCACTGACATTAGAAGGACCATTAAGCCCTACCTTGAGCCCTTTTCTCCTGATATCAAGTATGACATCTTTAGGGTTGTTTATGTTAGGAATGAGGAAAATATGCTCAACACCCACCACTTATTTCCTTCTCCAAAGATGCAAGAGAATGTAGGGAACAATGAGGGTGGCCAGAGGAAGCAGCAGGGATTTGAAAAGAGTGAGATTGAGGTTTGAATATTCTCAGAAAAATTTTTTAGTGTCATATATTACCTATTTTTCTTGTCTTCAAAACGCCTTTATCAATTCTAGCAATCTTACCCTTGGTCTGTGTTTGGGTTGATAGAAAGAGAGAAACAGAAAGATTATGTGTTTGGGCATCTCAACTTTTTCTTTCTCTCTTATTTTCTATCAACCAAACAAGCCCAACAGATATAAGCTCGACTCGGCTCTAGGAATCATCTATTTAAATGGATGGATAGGATCATAAAGTAAGGCTTAGTTTGGTTATAAATGCATGAGAGTGCAAATGGGCTGTGTGCAAATTCTGATTTTCTTTTATTTCATATTCGACTATCTTATTTACTTTCAGAAGTAAAACAAGAAGTAAGATGATGTTGACCCCACCTTATAACTTATATGCAATAGAATGGAGGTGTAGGTACGTACTACTCACTCAGACCCTCAGCGGACGTCCAAACACCATGATTAACACCATATAAATACACACGAGTAATTCACAATCAGCCCCCATAGTGCATGAATCCGCAGTTCATCATCACCCTTGCAATGAATTAGTAGTAGATACCCCAATACCGCGACTAACCCGTAATTCACTGAATCTAACCAGTGCCCAAACCTAAAGAAACCACACCTGCACCCATCCAAAGGTCAAAAGCCCACCTGTGTGAGCGATGAAGTTACGCCCACTAAGGCGTGCGATGAATTCACAGCCTGCAAGCCCGCTCGCGATAATGGGTCAAAAGAGACATAGAACAAGCCCACGGTGAGGCCCATGTATGCCCAGAGGCATGCAGACCTCTCGACAACAAAAGACCTTACGAGCCACCACGTGGAATCGGTGAGACGCCAATTGCCTAAAGTGACGTCACCAACGCCACATAGGATTAGTCATGGCACACAAAAAGGGTAGTAGCACACGTGAGTAATGAGGGATCTCAAGGATAAGGAAAGCCGATCCTTGAGAAGATCCTCATGAAACATGTGGCAATACCCCATTAGTGCGTCCAATAATTGACAGCGAATCAAATATCCCCTTTTTCGATATGGAGCGAATATCCCCATCTCCTACCTTTTAGGATCTCGGAATCCCCTCCATAAATAGGGATACTCCTCATATCGAAGGAATCACCCAATCTTGAGCATTTTTGTGCCATCAGTGCTCTTGAGTACCCCAGGCTTTCCCATTTCTAGAACCTTAACCTGCATCTTTCCCCACACCTGAGGCTTCTCTCCGTCCTTCAAAGAGATCGCTCCCATCTATCCTTACACCCATTTTATAGTAGAATCTCTAGTTTCGTCTTTGATCATGGAAGAATGGCCTCAAGAAGGATCAACCTCACTACCCTCCCTAAAGAACAAAGCAACATTCCAAAAAATACCAACCCCAGAGTCGAAAATCAGCCTAAGATGGAAACACCCGTCCAAATTGACATCGAGATCTTGTCGAACAAGGTCTACAAGTTCAAGGCACTCTTCGAAGAACGATTCAGGAAACTCGAGCAGAACATGGAAGAAACAAGGAGCACCCTCCAGATCCTGCTCAACCGATCAGCCCAAGCTGAGTAGACCCCTACTGCCACTATCCCTGGCATTCCGAATTCTAACCCTAATCCCAGTCACCATGCTTCCAAAACCATGCCCACCATCCCGGAACAACCCCACAGAGCCAATCTGACCCCTACCCAAGCAGGCTCTCTGCCTACTCACCAATTTCATGCCTTCCCCTACATCGATCGGGTAGTAGAGACCCCCCTCAATAGAGACAAGTTGAGGGAGTATGTCTAGGGACTAGTGGTTGAAAGTCACAACCGGGCCCAAGGCTCGGCAGTCCTACAAAAACCTTATTCTGATCGCATTCTATACAAGCCTTACCCGATTGGGTACACCCCTCAGTAGTGGCCGCAATACGACAAACAAAAAGGCAGTCCACAAGAGAACATCAACAAGTTCAAGGGCATCCTCGTCTCCTTCACTCTCGACGGGGACCTCAAAGTGTGAGAGTTCTTGAAGTCGTTGATTGRCCTGACGTATACGTGGTTCGTAAGCCTCACCTCTGGCAGCATCAATTCATGGGGCGAACTAGCCAAGAAGTTCCTATYCAAATGGTTCGCCCTAGAAAGGTAAGTGACTATGGCCAATCTACGGAACGTAGAGTAAGGGCCAGGAGAGGACCTATTGGCATATGTCATAAGATTCCAAAAACTTACACACTCTGTTTTTTATGAGCAGGCCACCGAAAGAAGTTTTGTTGAGCAGTGCGTTCAGGGCATGCGCCCCACCTATAGAATCGGCATCGAAAATGTTGAAGTAGAGACCTTCAACCAACCCTGAAGATGTGCAAAGAGGACGGCGCGAACCGTCAAAGACACCTCCCCTTACAACAGAAATGAGGCATACGCGGTTAATTGGAGGCCCATAAGCAATGGAGGAGCCAGACAATGGCCGTATCAACAAGACAACACACAGGGGAAGAGGATCCCACCACCACCCCCTCCTTTCTCTTGCAAGAGAGATGAAGTGATCATGATCACGAATAAGCTAGTGGAAGATAGAGTCATCAGCCTTCCACCGCCACCACCAGGAGTAGACCCAGAGAAAGACAAGCGCGGAGGAAGGTAGTGCAATTACCATCAGACACCTCACCATGACTTGATGGACTATTTCACCTTGAGAAGAATATTTGTACAAAGGGTAAAGCTAGAACAATTTGGAAAGACAAAACCAGCCCGTGTGGATATCGACCCCCTCCTAGCCCATACCCCAGGAGGTAGCAACAACATGGTCGGGGCATTCAGACAATACCAGGCTATCACTTTGATAGAGAAGCTAGAATAGAGCGAAGAACTATGGCAGTTTTTCACCAAACAGGGAGCCAACACAACAACACAGAAGTTGGCAGCGTTGGCTGAAGTATTCTGGCACCCTCTCCAACCCTACAGTCGCGATCAAAGCAGCATAGAGTTCACAACAGACGACATGTTGGGCGCTGATCCTTATCACAACAGACCCCTATACATCATGGCAAGGATAGGGGGTTTTGACATGAAGAGATCGATGGTCAACCTGGGAAGTTTGATTAAACTCTTCTCCATCCACACACTGGAATTAATGAACCTCCACAAGGAGGGCATCAAAGGACTACCTTTAGAGGTAACAGACTTCAATGGGAACCCGTCCGTCACTGAAGGGTCCATCGAATTATAGGTGGCAATTGGGCCATTCACTATAACGTAGGAATTCCAAGTAATCCCAGGAAGGACTTTCTCTTAGGGCGCTCGCTAATTCATGACATGGCCCTCATCCCCTCGACATAACACCAATGCATCAAAGCCAAACACCGAAGGAGATCGATAAGGATTTCGGCCACCAGGGCACCGTTTGATAAGATCGAGACACATCTCCAAGATGCCATATACTTCACGGAGCTAGCAAAGGATGGCGAAACAAGAATAGCCAAAGTCGAGGGAACAAAACTATCATACCCACATGAGAGCGAACCCATGGGACCATCGGAACAACGAAAAAGGAGCAGGTGCGCTCGGATGACAGGTGACTATGGGAAGGAATATTACACCATAGGCAAAGGCAACAAAGATAACGAAGGACCTGTAGCCAAGAAAGTGATTTCTGAGGTATGATTTTGTAATTTGATTAGCCTAGCTTTATCGCAATATGTATTAAAAAAATGAAGTTTATTTTCCAAAATGAGATTCCACTTTTCCAAATCAAATATATCTTTTCAAAAATCATTGCATTCCTCTAATGGAAGACCATAAGTAATGTCTCAACCAGTTCATTTCACCACATCGCATGTCAATGTCGCTACGGTTTCACTGTCATGCAACAATCGAACCATGGAACATGACACAAAGGTACAACATTCAAACCACATACCTTTATAGATACGAAATTTCCCAAAAAAATTGGAAACATATAACAACCTGGATAATTTTAGGAGTTGAAAGAGGAAGCCTTGGAATATTGCGATGAAGTTAGAGTGCCTCCGAGGTGCATGATGGATTCCATCGACATGGTCGAGGAACCATTAGAGGAGATTAACCTAGCAACCGACGGAACAGACAAATGACCCTCATATATATCCACCAAGCTAGTAGCCGAGGATAGAGGAAAACTTATCACACTTTTAAAGGGTAAGGATTATCCTTATCACAACAACTTTAGAGCCTAAAACTAGTTTAATCCACTTCTCTCTCACAGAATTCCAAGATGTCTTCGCCTGGTCATACAAGCAGATGCTGGGACTTGATTTGGAAATTGTACGCCACTCTTTATGTATAGATCCAAAGTTCCGGCTAGTGAAGCAGCCGCAAAGGATCTTTAAGCCGGAAATAACTCTGAAGATTAAAGAGAAAGTAGAGCGGCTTTTGAAAGTAGGCTTCATCAAACCCATAGCCCACCCTTAATGACTTGCCAATGTAGTTCTAGTGAAAAAGAAGAATGGGCAACTGAGGTTAGTATCTCCTCACGTAATCCCTTAATAGTAGCATAACACCCGTACACTAACTCCACCTTATCGCAGATGCTGTGTCGATTTTAGGGACCTGAACAGAGCCTATCCGAAGGATGCATTGCCTCTTCCCAACATGGAGGTGTTAATAGACTCAACCGCGGGACATGAGCTCTTCTTCTTCCAAGATGCCTACAATGGGTACAACCAAATTTTCATGGATCTCACAGATACACCCTCCCTCTAGGGGGTACTGTTCCACCATTGTAGCTACAGACTACTTCACCAAGTGGGCAGAAGCCATTCCCTTATGACGAATCTGTGCAACCAACATAGCAAATTTTCTAAGACAAAACATAGTCTACAGGTTCGGAGTACTAATGCGAATACTAACTGATAATGGCCTATCCATAAAAAATCAAGAAGTTTGTGACCTCCTGGGGCAATATGGGGCAAGACTATGAACATCTACAACATATTATCCCCAAAGAAACGATCAGGCATAGGCTACAAACAAGACACTATTAAGAATGTTGACCAAAACAGTGGTCGATAATCAAAGGGACTGGGCAGACAAGCTATTAGAAACACTTTGGGCCTATCGCACATCTATCAGGAGAAGTACACAGGCGACACCCTACTCCTTAGTCTACGGTCAGGAAGTAGTACTTCCAATGGAGATAAAAGCTATATCCTCCAAAGTGGCCTCCGCAATGGGTAAGAAAATCAAGCCAGAGGACTTAGATACATTACTTGCAGACAAACTTGAGGTAGTGGATGAAATTAGAGATACAACCTCACAGAAGCAAATCAAGTACAAACATACCCTAGTTAACAATTTCAATAGAAACTTAAGGTCTAGAAGCTTCAAAGAAGAGGATAAAGTATTGAAGACTGCTCTCAATCTTAGACAAGGTAAGTCTGCAGGAAAATTTGCACCAACATGGGAGGGGCCTTACTTGATAAAAGAAGTCCACAATTCGGCCTACTATGTATTAAAAACTGTAGGCATAGGTGAGGATGATGAAATCATAAATGGTTACTGGTTGAAACCTTACTTTGATTAGCCATATACTTCTGTAAACACACAAGCCAATGTATATGTTTTATGAATAAATCTACAATGCTTTACATGATTTTCTTCTCTTCCATACAAGTTGTTTTGCCATTAATAAAGTCTAGCATTATGATTACAATAAGGTTGCCCTGCCCTTCAATTAAGCATACATAAATATGTGATAACATAAATAATTTCCTTTTGCTTATGCACATGTCTTGACTACAACCATAATCTGTGACTCTTTTATTTTCCTACACACATTTTATTTATAGCCATACAAGTTGTTTTGTTATACTTACAAAGCCTTGGACACCCCGGGCACCTAAGTAAGCCCTGGCCCCCTAGGCACAATACAAAGCCCTGGACACCCCATGCACCTAAGTAAGCCCTAGTCCCCCAAGCACGATACAAAGCCCTAGACACCCCGGGCACCTAAGTAAGCCCCAACACCCCAAGTACAATACAAAGCTTTGGACACCCCGAGCACCTAAGTAAGCCCCAGCTCCCCAAGCATAGAGAAAGCCCTAGCAACCCTAGGCACAGCCAAAGCCTTGGCAACCCCAGACACTCTCACACCATGGTCGTTTCCACAATGCCACATGTTCCATACGAAATCCCAAGCAACTCCAGGTGTAGCCACACCTCCATGTAACCGTTGGGGGGGCTTTGTCAACACCAGGTATGATTTCTATCCAACTTATAAATGCAGATACTTTCTCTAAACTCAGAAATGCAATGGTTCAAAGGGGGGAAGAACTCCACCAGTCTCACACAATTGACAGCAACAGTATGCTAAAGAACAACACTAATCTTAACCATCGCTACCTCACTCCCATAGGAAGGCTCAAGTATCCCTCCCATACGCTAACCAAAATCTCACCCCAAAAGGCAACAAAGGCCTGATGCTCATAACCAATACGTAATTGCAATAGAGGCCAATGGGCTCTCAACTAAGAAAAAACTTATATCCTGTCACTCTTGATGTTTCCTACAAACCCACGAAGCACTTTCTAATATTAGCGAGCGCTCGTAACTTTCTTTCTCAACAACATTTAACACTCGTGCTGAGCCAAACTAAGGAGCACACACGATTTCCCTTTATATTAATTCGCAATTAATTGTTGATTACACTCACAATGGTGTTCAATTGCAATTAACTCCTATAATACATATGAAAAGTACTTATTTGTGATAGAGTGCACAACATGACAAACTTTAAAAGATTTGGTTACCGTTTAATATTTGCGCTAATACAAATCACGAAAAAATTTCACAAACTACATAACTTCCTTGATAGAAGACATTCTATCAAGATAGAGGGGGTTGTATCCACCAAAGCAAGTACAAAAGGTGTCAAACCAACACTACGCAGGCACCTACGATGAATCCAGAACCCTTGGGGGCCTTTAACGATGGAAAAAGCGATTTTTACTAAATTCATACAAACACTCTGTCTAATCGCGATAAACTAATGGAAGATAAACATATCTCAGCACTGCAATAAACCTCAACGCACTGCGACAACTCCACCATAGGGGCATTGACAAGCCAAGAAATAAGCCTTATGGTTGACTATTACTCGGGTCTAGAATCCAAAATTTTGCAATATATGACAAAATTAACACTGAGCACAATTCAAGTCTGCACTAGCTAACACAATTATCATACAAAATGGGACAACCCTGGAATACTCCACTACATCAAAAATCCATGATCATTTGGCCCACTCTTTCTGCATGGCAGATATGGTGTCCAACACCCCACTAGTTTCCTCAAATTTCTTTAGGTCCTCCAACTCTGCCTAATAATTTTCAAGGATGCATTCGTGCTGCACACATTCTTCCCTTAAATCCTCGATCTTCTTCGCAGCCCTGGTAACGCCTACTTCGACTCTCCAATAGGCATGCACCAACATCACTATACACTCCTCAACTTGGGTCATGAAGAAACCCATCAACGACAGGGGTCGACAAGCTTCCAACCAACAGACGAAGCCAATCCACGAAAATTTCTCCAAAGGTTGCGCCATTACACGACTCATCAATGTGGCAACGGTGCTCAGAGCAAGACCTACAATCTCTGGGTGTAGCCCTCCATCAGGTAACCACCCTGCACGAATCGCAGTTGACGAAAACTCAACAACTGCGCTGGAAATGTTGTAGCGCATGTTTCTGCCCTGAACCTGCACCGGATCCACCACTGGAAAGTGCAACAATGGGAGACTGTGGTTATCACAGTAATCCATTAATTCCTGCCGTATCTGGGCCAGCTCCTCCTCGTATGACAATTCCTCGGATGGAAATATAATCTCAGGCTCCATATCCCCATCTCCCGAGTGGTGTTCCAAACCACTTGATGGCTCAGGCGCCACAAAATCATCAGCAACATGCTATGGAAATGCATCCCGGAAGCGCTACTCACCGCAATAGGTGACTGCGACTCACTAGGAGTTGAACCCTCCACCCCTTTAGGAGCTGCGACATCACCAGTAGCCACATCAGATGACCTGGCGCAATTGACCGCCACCCCGATGTTCGTAACTAGTTGAGTTGTCCGATCCACCGAAGGAGCGATGATACCCAAAGTGCTCTTAGATACCACTGAATTGACGTTGGTGGATTACATGGCTCTCAATTCCTCGGCCAAACGCCTAAAAAAGGGCATGTCTGGCGCCCCAACCAGATACTTAGAGAAGAATGCCTGCGATACAGACAGCTATAAATAGTCAAACTCAGCGATCCTGCTTATGCACCAACAGATAACCAAACACAACCGCAACCTACCTCCAGGTCCACCACACCAAACCCTACAAACCCTGGGACATCCTCTTCGGAGTCCACCCGCCTCAAAACAAAAGACTGTTCAACAGTTAAACCACACTGGTAAAAAAAAATACCCATAACATTTCAAGATAAACAYGAGTGTTATGGTACTCATCCGGAACTTCCATCAATTGACCAGAAGGAGCCACCAGAGCCACAGTGTCCAATCGGGCCCCATCACTCCCTACAGCCTGTAAAAGACAAAGGAAAAACATCAACGCAATCACACAATGATAAAATAATGCAGAAATGAACACGAGTGCAACAACAATAGTTACATACCGAATCATCACCCTCATACCCCCATTTTGGGCAACGGGACACCATCTTCTTCATACGCCCGTTAGAAAATCTGATACAGCCAGTCTTCTCAACAGACGCTTTAACAATTAATTGGGTTGGCTCCACCGCCGGTGAAGACTCCTTTTCTAAAGGAGGTGCTACATCCTTCCGGCCAACCTCCGCCTGACATCCCGTGACCCATTGTCCAATAGGTGGTGCTACAACAAACCTTGGATGATTGGCGTGAGGCACCCTCGCTGTCCTTCGCCTTTTCGGGATAAGAGGATGAGCAGATTCTTCTTCACTCAAAGCAAGCCCTGACCGACCGCGTTTGGCACCCCTCTTAACCGGGGAACGCGATGAGGTTGGAGATGAACTCTCACCCAAGTTAGCGACATGCCCCTCTAGAGGTGCCAACACATGGCAGAGGCGGGGGTTTACCCATATCATTTACTGAGAATCACCGAAAAGAGCGCAAAGATATGCCAACCGAAGTGATTAACACCCCTGAACCCTGAAATACCCAGCCACGGAAAGCCTCGATAGGCCGGGAAAGTGAGCTCCTGATGCCGCATCCAGAAGACGTCTTCCCCAGACACTCAAAAACTGAGCACCTATGTCGTCACACACAAACTGACGAAGGACACGATCGGGACAATACACGGACAATTGTGCCTCACCGGTATGATCAAGGTGCACCACTACACCAAGTCACACCACTAGCCGGGCTATACCAGTAGAGGCATTTCTTCCATCCACAGCACAATGTTGATCACCCCCCTCAKGAACGGGCATGCCAACACAAAATGGCATGGCATGTTGGACGACCTGGACATAAGGCTGCCAGATAAAACCATCGAGCGATGCAAGCTTAAAATCGATATCGTTCGTTGTGAAATCCCTATGTCTCGTAGCCTACAGCCACTGCTTCCCACGACAGACATCGTATACTCTGTGTTCAAATGCATCCCCTACTAAAGTGTCCACATCGAGACGCAGGGGTGATAGCTCGCAAGGCACCACGTTGAGACTAAAGTGCTTGCATAGGTACATCCAGAGAAAGGGGTTACAGACATAACTGACCTAGTGCTTGCAACTAGGGTCCATCATCTGGTGAAGTGTGTTGTCCAACTGCTCGTATAAATACCCGAGAAACATCGATGCAAGGGGTAACCGGTGACTACTAGCAGACAAAACAATAAGAGGAACCACAATAGTACGTAACCCGTAATCGGCAAACCAGGGAAAAGAAACCGGGATGCCACATAGAGAATGTAAGTTGCGAGATGGCACCGACTCTCTGGACCTCAAACCATGATGTCCTTCCCCCCACGACTCTCAAACCAGTATTCCATCCACTGCTCCAGAGGCAGCTTGCCGCAAGACGTGGTCTTATCTACCGGAGCCTTAAATGTAGCCACTTCTGCGATAAGCTGATCGCAGAGTTCCCTAAGCTCATGGGGGATGGATTCGAGATGCTAGAGATGATGAGTAGAGAGCGAACCCCCGACAGAGCAGTGCGGACACGTCTTCCACCATGATTGTAAATTCCCCAAATGCACCAACAAAGGTGCGTGTGCAGTAGCACCAATGCTCCAAAAGGGGTCTCAGGTATTTCACTCGTTCTCGACCCTTCAGCCCGGTGTAGCAATTCACTAAGTGTAAAAGACCAGCATCTTGCAACATCATGCAGTACATAGGATTTTCTAGAACATACCACATCCAAGCAATATAACTGGTTGGAGACCTCGAGCTGTCGGTCCAGGGTTCTTGACATTTGAAGGACACGGATGGACCAGAGCATTCGCAAAGGCACATCAACTCGTTAGCCTTAACGACATCAAACGCACCACCCTTGCCCCTGCCCACCGACATTGGGGGCCAAAACCCCTTTCCCCATCAACAGATGCTACTACTTCCCGCTCCATTAGAAGTTCCGTAGTATCGACCTGCCTTCCAAAATCAGGGAAGGGGCACTCAGTCGCCTTTACCATCTTTTTCACAGCCTTCTTCTCTTTCTTTTGACTAGGAGCCATCAGAAACAACAGTGACGATTACAGGACCAGACACAGAAAGAGCCAGAGGACTGCCTTTGTTAAAGAGCCCGAGGCACGAAAAGCCCAACAAGAGTAATGGCCCTGGTCGCTCGGAAAAGAAACAATACCCAAAAACGAATAGCAAACAACCTTCAATCCCTGTCTCCGTTCTTATAGTGACTACACAAATCTCACACGCGCAGAAAGCCAAACGGAGCTGGAGAAGGCAAAAGGATGCCTGTGCAGCACCCGAAATGTTGCTTCGCAGAAAAGCAAATGAATATAATTACCTTAATGCCCCCAGAAAAGCAGGACCAGTGAGGCGCAACAATTCAAACGGAACGATAAGTCAGTAACTATCAATGAATCGTATCGGGTACCGCATTCGTTCCATACAAGCGACTAACTTGCAATAATTCCGCAACACCAATCGAAGCAAATCGTCAACAAGCGCTGCGCGACAGTTCCAAATACCCCCGTCCCAATCAAGTCACAGAATGCTGCTAGGAACCCCAATCGCCTGTCCTCGGCAAGAAGAACAAAATCGACCCGACCGTCAAACAGAGAAGATACTACCCTCGGCTTAACTTGACAACTCAGCATGATCGGTCCCCTACAAAGCAACCTCGGGCACCCTGTTACCCCAAACTAGAGTTACTTCAGACTAAGATCATCCCGAGCTAAGATCACCTCAGTATCAGTTCGCAACCAGGATAACGGTATCAAGTCCGCTATAGATTGAGCTCGGACAACTGGGCCCACCTCGAAAAGAGTTCACCTCGGGACAAGCCTATCTCGGCACAAGATCATCTCAGTACTAAGGCACTTCGGCATTTGGAGCAGGTCGGGCCTGAAGAGCACGGGCTCAGGCAGCTCGCCACCAAGTAGCCTGACACTTAACAAGCAGCTTGCTGCCTAGTCAAGCTAACCTCCGCGTGACAACCCCGAGGAGCTCACCACCGTACCCCGTGTCTTAGAGGATCGTACCCTAACGGCTATATTAGCTCACCCGCTCCCCGATTCAGGCGGAGATGGGCAACCTTACCAGTTGGTGGCATTATCCCCACCTAACACGGAAGCGGATCCCATCACAGCGAGGATCCAGGAACTGCTCCACCAAACCTGTAGGGACTCCAATATATAAGGACCTCACCCCCAGGGGCAAAGGGATATGTGTGTGTATGCGTAATCTTTGCTCTCTATCTCTCTAACTCTCTGATATCATCTTCAAGCTTTCTACTACTAAGTGCTAACTTGGCCATCGGAGTGTCCCCGCCGGGTAAGCCACCCCGGGATTTCTGACTCCTTTCTTACAGGAACCTCAGTTCTCGTCATTGCTGGCAACCAGATCATATCCAGCAGGGAGTAGTCGGATTATGCCACATCATTTGGCGCCATCTGTGGGAAATCGCTACTAAAAGCCCTTGTTTCCATTTCCAAAATCTCAAGCTCAAAATCAAACCCATGGCTTCCTCTAGCAACGCTGGATAGCACAGTGGAGCGAACGTCTCCAGGGGGCAACCTCAATTCCCGTCTGTCTGCATACGCCAGTTCACCATACCGCTCTCCGCAGGTGGGATTCCAACACTGATTGTACCTCAACCAACTGTGCCTGTGAACACCCCACTTCCCCCTGTAGTGGGTGCGACTTCCATTGAACCCTCTGCGGTTCCCCCTGGAGTCGGACAAAACCAATTAAGCAACCTGGTACATTGTGTGCGGGCTATTCAAGCCCAAATGCAGAAGGTCCAGCAGTTCCAGCATTACCAACAGCAAATTCCGCACCACATGTACCAGCAACAGTTCCCACCGCTGCAGTAGAACCAAGCAAACCTCGCTACCAGAACAACCATCCTTGCCGGGGAGAGACCTCTTAGGTCTCGTCTCGCGGCAGGGGGGAAAGACAAGTTGTTCCTCCCATCTCCCAGCAAGTAAGCAGGTCGAAAGATACTCGACCCACCAAAACTAGTCCACCCCGGCCCTCGCAACCTGAAGGCACACTTGCAGGAAACCGGTTTGAGGTCCTAGTCACGGATTCCAGACAAGGCCTTTCTGTACGCAGTAGCCAGCAGTCCAAATCACTTCTGGCCAAGACACCATCTGACAGCGCAGAGGTCAGCAGCACTGCTGTGAAACCAGTCAAGCAGCAGCGAAGGAGACATGCTAAGGCACCTCGAGTAGTAGATCCAAGCCGACTCGCGGGACCTAGCCTACCTGAGCAGCCTAAGGTAAGGAGAAGGTAAGCCCGGGAATCACAAAAACCGCTCCCCTCCTCTCTGTACCCTCTCCACTGTCCTCTGAGATCCTAGCCACTCTGATGCCGAAGGGCTTCAGGGTACCCCCTGGAAAAGTATGACGGGTCTTTCGACCCCAATGATCACGTAGACTCTTTCTAGTTCCAGATGCACCTCATTGGGGCTGACGAAGCTTGCATGTGCATTGCCTTCTCCATGACCTTCAAAGGGGTAGCTTGCACTTGGTACAGAAACCTCACGCCTGGGACAGTTAAAAGTTGGGTGCAGGTCGTGCAATTGTTCACCTCGCACTTCATCACCAACAAGAAGTGTCCGAGGTCACAAGAAAGCCTCTTCAACATAGTCCAGAGGGAAGGAGAGTCGATTCGAAGCTACATCAAACGCTTCAACGACACCTGTTTACTAATCCTAGACTTAGACCCCGCCGTAAGACTCGCGATAGCAAAGAAGGGTATCACCCATAGGGAATTGAAATGGCATGTGGTGGCAAGCAAACCCAAAAACATCACCGAATTCCTTAAGCTCGCCGATCAGTTCATTGGGACCGAAGAAGAGATGAACCAAAGGACCGAAGCCTCGGCGGACAAAAGAAAGAGAGAAGACCACAGCTTGAACAATGGTGGCGGCAAAAGGAAGAAAAGCAAGTCCCCAACCAGAGGAGAGAACATGTCAGATTTTCATCCCCGAGCTCCCCGGTTGAAAGAACGAACTTCACACCCCTCAACGCGAAGCGAGGGGAAATCCTCATGGCAATCAAGGATGCCTCTTTTGTAAAGTGGTCACCCCGGTTAAGGGGAGATCCAGCCACTACAAATAATAATGTATTTTGTCATTTTCATAGAGATCACAGTCATAGTACCGAAGATTGTAAAAACTTCTGCAACGAGATTGAAGAGCTCATCTGTCATGGGTACCTAAAAAATTTTGTACAAAAAAGTAATAAAACCCAGGCAGATCGGCAGGGGGAGCAAAGGAGAGATGCTCCCGAGCCCAGTAGCTGACGCAACGAGCAACCGCAAAGACTGTTGCCCGAGGAGAGACCAATCTGCGGGATGATCAACACGATCACTGGCGGATCCATAGTTGCGGGCTGCACCTCGGCCGCAAGGAAGTCTTCAGTTCGCGAACTGGAACACGAAGAGCAGAATCCGCCAAAGCAACCTAGGCCCAAAGATCCGATATTCTTCATGGAAGACATTGCACGCGGGGTCCAATACCCCCACGATGATGCACTGGTGACAAAGATGAGGATCAACGACTTCGAGGTAAAATGTATCCTAGTCGACTCCGGCAGTTCAGCAGACATCCTGTTCAAAGACGCGTTCGACAAGCTCCAGCTCTAGGAAGGCGACCTCAATCCAACAGGCACTCCACTGGTAGGCTTTAGYGGAGAAGAAGTCAGGTCCCTAGGGTGAATCTTAGTACATGTGGAGATCAGCACCTGGCCTAGCATCGCGAGGTTCGAGCACACCTTCTTGGTGGTCGCGACTCCCTCCCCCTACAACGCCATTATAGGTCGACCAATCACCCACGCGTTTCGCGCAGTGGTGTCCACCTACTAGTTGTCTATGAAGTTCCCTACGGACTTTGGAGTTGAGACAGTGCAAGGCGACCAGCTCGAGTCCCGCAAGTGCTATGTTTTCGCCCTCAAAGGGAAAGCCAAGCTGGCAGACGACCTCGATCTAGAGTGACCTGTGAAGTATTTCGAGGAGCGAGTCACGCCAACTGAAGGGACGATCCACATCACGACCTCAACAGAAGATCCGGCCAGGACCCTCTAGATCAGAGCAGCGATCAAGGAGCCTCTCCGCTCTCAGCTGGTAAGCTTTTTACTTAAAAATTTAGATATATTTGCATGGTCCGCGACAGAGATGCCTGGTATAGATGCAAAAATAATAACTCACAAATTGAATACTGGTCCTTTAATCAGGGCAGTTTGATAGAAAAAACGCAACCTCGCCCCGGAGCGCTGGAGGATAGTCGATGAGGAGGTTGGGAAACTCCTCGCAGCCGACTTCATCAGGGAGGTCCATTACTCGAGCTAGGTGGCTAACCCCGTCCTGGTAAAAAAGGCCAACGGTAAATGGCACATGTGCGTCGATTATACCAACCTGAATCGAGCTTGCCCAAAGGATTGTTTTCCACTCCCTAAGATCGACCGTCTAGTGGACGCGACCTCAGGGCACGAGTTGCTAAGTTTTCTGGATGCATACTTGGGCTATAACCAGATCAAGATGGACCCCGCCGACGAGGAAAAAACAACATTCATAACCGAGTTAGGATTGTATTGTTACAAGGTCATGCCCTTTGGGCTAAAAAATGCTGGGGCGGCCTTTCAAAGACTTGTCAACAAACTATTTAAGCCGTTGATCGGCAATAAGATTGAATGCTATGTAGACTACATGGTCGCCAAAACCCAATTTTTTAACTATTTAATAAGTGACTTGCAATGTGTTTTTGAAATTCTACACTAGTATGAAATTGAACCCTAACAAGTGTGTCTTTGGTGTCACCTCGGGTAAATTCCTGGGTTACATAAGATAAAGGCTATCCTAGATATGAAGCCACCTCGCAAGTTGAAAGAGGTCTAGAGGTTAAATGGTCGTATGGATGCTCTAAGCCGCTTCATGTCCAAATCAACAGATCATTGCCTGCCTTTTTTCAAGGCAATTAAGAAAAGTAAAGACTTTGAATGGATTGAAGAAATACCTAGTTAGTATCCCGGTTCTGACCCGACCCGAAGAGGGTGATGTTTTAAAGCTGTACCTCTCCACAAGYGATGAGGTAGTCAGCTCGGTACTAATAAAGGAAGTAGATCGGGTCCAACGACCTATCTACTATGTGAGAAGTTTTGCAGGACGCCGAAACTAGGTACCGAGAGATTAAGAAGTTGGCATATGCACTGGTCACATCAGCTCGGAAGCTTCGCCCGTATTTTCAAGCTCACACAGTCGTAGTCCTCACAATCAAACCTCTGAGGCA